GGGAACTTTGAAAAAACATGTTTCGAACTACGCAACTTGCGTATTAAGTACTAGTTGTATAACTTTACTATTCTGACCATCGTGATTTTTGTGCAATTTTACCGCCAGAAAGTCTGTTCGTACGGCTGTATCTTTTGCGTGCAACAGACTCATNGGGGGGGGGGGGGGGGGAAACGTGAAAAGTTCGTGGAAAATCTGCAGGAATTGGACGTGTCAGCGAGGAATTTTCAACATGCGGTTAGTATGAATGAAAATGCTTTTTCATTGGATAGCAAAAAACGATCCCACCTTATATGAGGCCTCCTAAAGTTAATGGCTGTATGGCGGATGGGAGTTATATCATTCACCAGATCACCCTCCTCCGAATATGCTCACTTGAAATGCAAATGGAATGAGAAAAATCAATATGACTAGAAATATCTGTCAGGTTCCATTATCAGAAAAATATTAAGTCTAGAAGCTCCGTTGTCATGTCTTATTAAAAAACAGAGAAAATAAGGGGAAAACGGAGCTGAGCATTGCCTTTAAATATAAATATGTCGCTGTCAAGTATACTTAAAAGGGAAAAATAGAAGATTGGTAGAGATTCTATAATCAGAAAAATATCGAGTCTAGAAGCTCAGTTTTCATATCTTATTGAAAAAAAAATAAAATGAGGGGGAAGAAACGGAACCGAGCATCGCCTTTAAAAATAATTATGTCGCCGTCAGGTATACTTAAAAGGTAAAAGTAGAATATCGGTAGAACATTCATCGTTGAGTTGCGATATTTACTGTCATCAGACTTGAAAAAAAAACGATTAACACACATTGATCACCTCTTTAAACGTCTTACTCTCAGTGTTGAAAGTTGAATTTTGATACAGTTTGAATTTTGAAGGATATAACAACATTTTAAACGTTGGAACTTTTTTTTACCTAAAAGTGATCATAACGTATTGGAAATTTTAAGTAAAATATACTCGAAATATTATTTGATTTGAATCGTTTTAATTTCAAGAGCCTGAGCTATAAGTAAAAAGAAAATCCATTCTGCTACTCTTCTAAACCTACCTGTTATGCACGCAACCATACTGAAAAAAGTACTATACTTAAATAAGATAAAGATGATTGGCTAAAACAGCAGCATAAAAATTATCTGATCCACCCTCGCACCAAGCTGAGATACTTAATTTTAAAACAGGATGAAAAATAATATTCGAAGATCCAAAAATCTTACACATTTATCTAATTTGACGAAGATGAGAGCAATTAGTAATTTCTGTGGCAGAATGTATTTCCACTCAAAAAAATGTCTCTATAGATCACAAAACACAGAACCGAAAAAAGGACGCCTCAAAAAGTGGCCGCTCCTTAAGTTCAGTGCTCATGCAATTTGAGCTACTTGGGAGTTATAATAGTTGTATCACAAATTCCGGTCCCTTTGATGCGCGTGTTCATGCAGGTGCTACAAAACACACTCGAAAGTAAGTGGTACGCATAATTATTGAACGGTCTAGTCTCTTGACTGTCATTGACTTTGAGCTTCATGCAAGTTTAAATTATTGTACAATTACACCTTTCAGGAGACGTTCTCAACCAAGAAAAGACAGGTTGTGCAAATACATAAAGAGCAAACCCCTTGCAGTATTTTATGCCGTTGTGTAGAATAACCCACGGAGGATTGATACTATTATCATTTTGAAGACATTCTAGCACTGCTGTTGTAACATCGAGTCTGTTCAATTTTCTAACATTATCACGCAGACTTGTCTAGACTGTAACATTAATAATCTTGAAAATGATGCAAGAATCATTTTGCATGGTGTTTCGACAAGACCACAGATATTAGAATTCCTTGCATGATGCAGAGAAATGTCTACACAATTGCTTCCAAAGATTTCTGCATCAAATTTTCATCTTATATTCTAGTAGGTATGTGGGAGTTCACATCGATCTTTGATTATAAAAATGATGTAAAATGCTCATAATTTTAAGGAACATATCCGATTGGTCCACAAGGTATTATGAAGTCCTCTATATACGTTATTTTAGTAAACTTGGTTCGTCTTTTCTTTGTAATAAAGCATACACAAATGGAAATGCAGTTTTATTACTCACCATCTAGTGCACAGGAAACATTAGGGTAAAAATTTCAGGGAATTCCTGGAAAAAGTATTACATTATGCGTATTATTTCTATGTTTCTCGCTTCGTATGCATTTTTAACAGTAGGAATTTTAATCTTAGGTCATTTCTCATTTGCATTTAGTCGCAGGTCTAATGATCATAGACGAAATATTTCGTATGTAAAATGAAATGTGGGAATTGACGCATTCCGGATGAGCCCCACAACGCCAGTTACGTAATCCCGGGTTCATTGAGAGATTGGCTTTTGCTCGTGGGTTTGTCGCAAACTTCAGCTAGAACAAAAAATCATCATCTTAGTCCTGAAGGACAAATCATCATGAAAGAATACCACTGCTCGGTCTTGAAACTCTAAAAAAAACTTTGCATGAGCATTATCCGATGAGAAAGAGTGATGTATGTTGCAACCAGCTCATCCACGCCAGCACATGCTCAAATTCACGAGGCATTCATGATGAGGAATGTTGGAAATGTGTCAAACTGAAAACGAAGGATACTGAAAAAAAGCACGAGGGTGAATTTTTGAATGTGTTACTGCAATAGAAAATACGGCTGTCAAATGTTTCTACGGATCTGGGTGTTTCCTTGAAAATTTTAAAACCACCTAGTGCGACACACACACCAAAAGAAAAAAAAAGAAAAGAAGAAGGGGAAAAAAATTCTTTCAAGAGGATCTTTGGATGAGGTGAAAAATGAATTTGGGAAAAACAAAGGAACATTCTGCGCCACGTAGCAATGCCGTAACGGAAGGTAAGGTCCGAAGGTAAGAAAATCCTATGGAAATATTTTGAGGGAACAGATTCCGGTCAACGGGGTTCAGACTCCCTGCCCCCCCCCCCCCCCCNAGATACTTCAATGGCATCACGCTCAACATGCAATGCATTACGCAAAAAAGGGGCCAACTTTTCACGCTCATTTCAGAAAAAAGGATCCATGTCGTTCGTTTTCCTATATAGATAGATGATTTTCATGGCAAGTCAGATTGGCGCCTAATCATAATTATTCCTGGAGGTGGAGGCCCAATTTGAAAGCCCAGCAGAGTTCCCGATTACAAGTAATTATCAGGCAGAAGCCGCAAAAAAACCCCAACAGGTGATTCGAAGGACGCCATTTTTTTTTGTCAGAGCGGCGTGCAATATACGATCGACATTTTTTTCGAATTTTGAGATCGCACTTATGTTTTTATGAGACTGAGGAATTCATATACCAAATTTGACAAAGAAATTCAACGTAAGAAAGGCAGGGAAGATGCAAGCAAGGAATAGAGGAACAATTCGAGTGCAGTTTCGACATCAGTTTCGAATGCGATATTTTTCCTCTGAAAAAACCCTGCCTTTATTACGTTGAATTTCTTTGTCAAAGGTACCTACGCAAATTCTTAAGTCTCATAACTACAGAAGTGCGATCTCAAAATTTGAGAAAAAAAAAATGACAAGAAGTTGAAATTATGGAACGAATAATCTAAAAATAATCACAAAAAATGGCGTCAGTCGAATCACCTTAATAGCTACTTTCGGTCGCTTTTGTGCGACGGAGTCGTGCAGTGCTTTTTTGAACACTCTGTACCTCCGTGGGGTTAAAAAGGTACGGCACTGGGAATTGAGAGCCGAGGTGGATCGAGCGAGATTGATTTGCGGTATGAATTTTTTATGCAAAAGCATTTTAAACCGCGTATTGCTCGAATTTTAGCAAGACTCCTCTTGTCATTCCAGTGTCAAAACGTAATAATTACTGTCACAGTTAAACTCATAAAAATTGAAGTCAAATTTCATCTAAAATCGAATGTATTTAAATCAAAAGAATGTGTATCCATTTTGACGTGAGCCCGATCATGCAATGGCGAGGCGTGAATATGATCGATTATCGATATTTACCCCATTTGAAGCTATGGTAAAGAATCGAATATTAAGGTGTTGGTCGCGAGCACCCTGTTTATCGATCTATTTCCATAGATTTAAGTGGCAGATCAATTGATATATCGCAAAGCACGCCACTTCACTGCGATCATACATGTAGTCTTACTGATCTTAAAGACTCATATCGAAACGTGTAAGGTTCCCTATATGATTTAAACACGTGCGAATGGCATCTCTCTTAAGAGAAAATTTCCCTCGATGTCGTGGCCTTTGCATAGTTAGAAACTTGGTGCCTATACGTCTAACTTTATTTGCGGTGAAAGTGCAAAAACTCGAATCTCGGTTCCCGACACTGTAGTCTTCCAGTTATTAGTTATCTATTGTGATGGGAGAATATTCAACGTCTTTTTTCAACAACAAAAAAGTCTTTGAATTTTATTCTTTGTGCGAAGGATATTTTGTGAAAATTTCAAGCAAAAATTTTTGCTCGATTTCCTTTAATTAAACAAAAGGGGAGGGGAGATTTTAAAATGCCGCGAACAAGATTCGCGTTTTTGCAGTTTCAGTAGCATCGATGTGATGTGTGACCGCGCCCCTGAAAAAGGACCTTCTTTGGTGTCCACGGTACCTAAATTTTCAATGGAACGATTTAGTATTGGGTTGAGTCGAAAAATAGGATTATGATAACCTAATGGAAAACCTCTTCGAGTGTTCTGAAGAATGCTTTGAGTTCTTTTTTGTGTAATTACAGAGCGTAAAGTTACAGCATAATCTGGCAAATTTGCCCTAGACACGTCAGACAAGAATTATTTTCAACATTATTTCCTCGATAATTGAAAATATGGCTGTTGCTTATGCATACCACAGACAGAAGAAAATTTGCGTGATCGTTTAAAAATTAAAAGCAATGATTAAAATTGTCGAATGATTTGAGTCTGAAATTTTTCAGTGATCTCACGGTTATAATCTAATCGCAAGGTATACTCCTGACTCTTGGGGAAAAAATATGAAGAAAAATATTAAAGATAAGCTATAAAATATATTTAGGAACTATATTTTATTGATTTACATTGTATTAAAATTAATTAAACTGCATTGGACATCAAGGAGCCATTCATTGAGTCATAATATACAGGGTTATTCAAAAGTCACGCACCACTGGCCATGAAGGGGGTGGCCATTTGAAATTTTTGAGTTGCGACCCGCCCCCTCCCCCTGAGGGGATCAAAAACTGGAAAGTACCTAAAAAAGTTTCCTTCTTAATATGAGGAAAAACTTCACAAACCGCAAATCGATATCTGAATTAGAACTAAAGTTACGGCCAGTGGTGCGTGACTTTTAAATAACCCTGTACGTGCTATCGCGTGAAGGTATTTTTTTGGCTTACCGCAGTTCAAGAATTGATTATAAAATTAAAACAAATAATGAGTTCACACCTTGGCTACTCAACCGAGTAGAAAATACTTTCCTCAGGGAATAACAATATTCTGTCATATTTCTGCGACTGCTGTCACCAAAATTGTCGTCAGCTACATTTTTGGCAATAGTAGTCGCCTTGATCTCTCTTCCTCTCTGGACTGACATATGCATTACTGGATGTAGAGCCCTGTTTAGTCAAAGGCGGGGATTAAATCAACGTCACTTAAAAGCGGTGCGATATCGTCTGATTTTTTATAGAGGCCGTTGGAGAGATTTTTGAACAGTAGGAGAAGACCGATGAGCAGAAATACGGCTCCCACGACAGACACGCCGAGAAGGAGTTGGCTGACGTGGGCCACCCCGATGGAAGCTCCCCAGACCGTCCAGGCCAGCCGTGACGTCATCGTCATCCTCTGCTCCAGCCACAGCACCGGCAGGGTTACCGTGGGTAAATTCCGGAACATACTGAGAAAGAACATCAAAGTTGCAGGGTGGCACATTAGTAAACTGCGCGAGTAGGCACTCTGATCAAAAATTGTAAAAGCACGTATAAAACTTGGGTTCCTCCCGGAAGGCGACGGCGTGGACGTCCTGTGAAAGGTTGGCGACAAGGGGTGGAGGAGGAGATCAGAAGGTGCCAATGGACTACTAGACAAGGTACGAATCTAAGCAATCTGATACATGATTCCTAACCAGAATCTTACGTAAAACACGATTCGCACAACGAAAATTACTGAAACCAACTCCTAATTACGATATTAACGTTTTTATTTCGCATTGGTTACGAGGAATTTGAACTGCCCGCTCACAAGAAACTCAAAGCTCTACGTGAGTCAAATCGCGCACTGCAACGGTTTCAGCAAGCTTCTCAATCGAGCAATGTTCATTTCCCGCCATGTGTTGTTCAAACTATTAGCAATTTGCTATAGCTGAGCCAAAGCGTTAAGATCGAGGTTGTCAGATTTTTATATTGCAGAGACTGTCATGATAACGTTTAGCGCGCGATGTGAATCACGTAGAGCATTGAGTTTTCATGAGCGGGTGGTTTGAATTCACGCATCAAGAATAATTAAATATCTTCGTAAGGAGTTGATTTCGGTAATTTTTGTTGTGCGCATCGTGTTTTACGTGAAATTTTGGTGAAGAAACATGTATCGGAATGCTGAAATTCATACTTTGTCTAGTGGTCCATTGCCTGATCTCTGGGAGGATAGGGGGCAATGGCGATTGGGCGTCGCAGGGCGCGAGGCTGCGCTATAAAAGCGGCTTTGTGTATGTACGTATAAAACTTTGATTTCGCATAAATTGTCTCAGTTGCAAAGTCTTAATCCTTGAAGACGCTTGTTCGCGATGCTGCCGTGCTATGGAAGAACGCCGTACACACCCTCAGACATTGCCAAGTTTCCTTCGATTGAAACCGACTTCATTCAGAAAATTGTGAATATTTCCCCCAAAATGTTCCGACAATTTTGCACGCAATTTAATCTAAAATATCTGAAAAGAGCCTCCCAAAATTTCGCCCCTTTTTCGGTATTCGATTCTACCATCGAACCAAGGTTTGAGTGGAAGCTTATAATAACAGAAAACTCAGGAATAAATTTCAAGATGGGTATAGGAACCGTTTTCGAGTTACGGGGGGGGGGGGGGGGGACAAAGGGGTCGAACTTCGGCCTTATTTCTCGCTATTTTCTTGTTGAATTGATGTGTCTACGGGGTTGTTATCGTTGTTTGTCATAGTGAATACAAAAAAATATTTTTTACATCATGTGAAGTACTGCTCATTAAGTGCAGTTTGGTAGTACATTTGACAAATACGCCAAGAAACTCATGCGCCGCTATAGTCCATGACATTTCGTAACATGACTATTGACTATTCCATGACTATTCCTGACATTTAATCGAAAAGTCGATGCGATTCTCGATACGACAACTTCAGTTTTATACTTCACAAATGGACTGTGTTAAGCAGAAAGGTACCAAGCAACATCAGCTCTTGCCAATAATTGGACAATTTTATTTTTTACATGACACGATTGTGCGGATTTTTGTGCAAACAGTGAATTTTCTGCATTGTGCGAAGCAAATTCCTTAACATTTTCCAAAAAACCGCGCACAAACGTTCCCTTGTAAAAAATTAAATTGCTCAGTTAAATTTGGCAATAACTAATGCGGCTTGGCTCCTTTCCGCTAAACGCGGTTCAAATGGCAACCCTTTTAGCTTCAGTCCTTGACATTTTGAGAAATGATTTGCCCATCATAGGTGGCATTCGCAGTACTGTTCATGACAATACTGAGAGCGTAGTTTACAGAAATTTACCTCGTTAAAGATGTTGACGTGTTTAAGCTAAAAAGAACTAAGTGCATAGGATTTGCATGTAACATTGTTCCTCTTAGCATAAATACGTCCATATTTAAGTTTGATTAATAGGATCGTCAAAATTATATCGAAGCGTATTTTTTTCATTCTAATCTTTTAGATCACTGAATTTCAGTAACATACTGAGATAACTCTCGCAGTCATTATGTAACACTTCAATCCATAATTTTAGAAACTTAGCAAATGATAATGAATGCTTACTTGATAAGGCCTTGTGTAGGACTAGATTGAATGTTTATTTGTAAACGTGCGTTCACAGCCAATGGGATGCCAGTATCCTGGAAAAAAGATCATTTAAAAATAGGATTGAGCCCAAAAGATTCGTCAATTTCGATGGCTCAGGTCAGAAAATGCATAACTTCGTTTGTGACGTTGCAATTCTCTACTCGTGATCAATTTTTTTTTAATTTTAAAGAGAGCTTTCACACGATTTACCTTGTGAAAATTGTCCTCGTGTGTGTTCCATTGAGTGAGGTTTTCGACATAAGTTCAGCTATTTTTTAACAAAATGAAATGTAATTGGAGTTTTTTAAAAGTTTCAGTGGAGAAGCCAATTTTCAGATTTGGACCATCGTTTTGCAAAGTTATTTCTTTATTCTTGAAAAAGCTGAAAATGTCCAAAATCATAGTTGGAAGCAAATTGTGAATACCGCTGAAGTAAGTCATTTGAAATAAAAAAACCTGTTATTGCCTCCATCTTTCTTTTGATTTTGGATCTTACTTTCCAGCCCATCCAGGGACGTTTTTTGCCGCAGCCTCCCGAGGCTACTTATAATTAGCGATGCGAAAATAACGATCAAAATTTACCAAACATTTAAATAAGAAACTCGAAAATCCTAACGTGAATAAATAAAATTTTAAGTTTGAGCTACGCTGCAACGCACCAAAGTCCTTCTAGTGCTTAACTCTTTAAGAAATTCGAAGTGATCCTTTTTAGGTTCTCCAAATTTTTCCTCTCAGTCTTGAAATGCCTGTTTTCTATATCTGTTCCTTCTAAACAATTGGACTGCATTGTGTTAAAAGGAAGCACTATTCCTGACTCATTTCAGGAAAAATGTAGGTGCTATCAATTTTCCTAAACAAATTCAGGGTGTTTACTGTCAGCAACAACCGGAATACATCAGGAAAATATCGAGAAAATCGGTCATGGGTACAGAATCTCCGGGAGCATCTGGCATTTTTCAACTACATGCAGCCAGCACACACAAATGTTATGCATTCAATTTAGTAAATACGTTGATTCGTAAAATCGGACAAGAGTAAATTTATTCGTGCGAGAAATGAGGAAAATTGAAAATGAAATTTTAGTATGTACACCCTTTAGGTGTTTTTTCGTGTGAGCTAGAAATAGTGGCCCTATCTCTAAAAAATTCGGATTAGACGTATTTCTGCCTGACGGAACTAGAGACGTGTGGGAAAGATGAGGTGTGCTTGAGCACTGAAAAAAAATTCTCGGCGTTTTTACCACGGTCTGTTGGTACCTTTACCATCTCACTTTTTTACCAATTATTGGTAATTTTACCAAGACAGACTGGTAAGCTTACCTAAAAACCGATATTTTTACTGTTTTTTTTCAGGTGAGAATACCACTTTTATTAGTAATCAATTCCCGGTAACCTTGCCATTTTATCTCGGTAATTCTACCACAGTCGATAAAAAATATTGGCGTTTTTACCACGGTCCAGTAAAATTACCGAGGAAGTTCAATAATTTTACCGAGATTCCTCGGTGGATCAAATAGAACCCTGAATTCTTAGTAATTTTACCCTTTTCTCAGTAAATACACCGAGATTTTTTTTTCAGTGTGGGGAACTGCATTAGAAACAATGTAAAAGTGGGCGAGATTCCTTATTGGTGAATGGAAAAGCGGGATTTTACATAAATCAAACGGAACGAAGCGCCAACTGTATGTGGCACTCATGAGCCGAGGGCATGGGACACAGGCCCGGACTTAGGGCGTGTGCAGGGCGTGCGGCGCACACGGGCGCCAGCCTTTGGGGGGCGCCACGAAAGAAGAAGAGAGGGAAAAAAAGGGGGGGAAAGGAAAAAGAAAAAAAGGGAAGAAAGGACAAGGGAAAAAAGGAAAAGGAAACAAGGTTGGGCAGTGAAAGCAAGGAAGAAGGGGGGAAATGGAAGGAAAAAGGAGGCAAGAAAAGTGAAAAGAGAGTCCGCGAGAAAGGGGGGGGGGCATAAAAACTATAGACAAAATATAAAGAGAATTGCCGTCTAAAGGTAAATTTTCAGGACGAAAACTCCACCTGGTCCATAGACGGTCAGGCGCCCCCTGACCCTAAATTTGCGGCTGTACAGAAATACAAGAGTAGGCATGCAGTATAAGGGGGCTGCATAAATCCATCGAACAGGAGCCGACATAGCATTTTAGGCCACGTCCGGCATCTTGGATTTGAGAATTTTTAAAAATCGACTAAAAATTCGAGTTTCCCGTCGAAAAGTACCCCTGATCCCGCGGTTCACAAAGCTCTAACGAACAGAAACGGAGGCCAGAACCGGGGTTCATTTTAGGCCACATCCAACATTTTGGAGTTGAGAATTTTAAAAAATTGACGAAAAATTCGAGTTTCCCGTCGAAAAATACCTCCTGACGCCGAATTTCAGAAAAATCCATCGAACAGGGGCCGAGATAGCATTTTAAGGCATTTCGGATTTTCGAATTTTGAATTTTTTGAATTTTGACAGATTTTGATTTAAAACGCGTGATCCCCAAAATCGAAGCTCAGATTCGGATTCCTCGTAAAAAATTGATGCTATTTCATGTATCATACCCTGACACCGAATTTCAGGAGAATCCATCAAACAGGAGCCGGGATGGCATTTTAAGCCACTTCAGTCATTTCGGATTTTTGAAGTTGAAAGATTTGACTTAAAACGCGTGATACCCAAAATCGAAGTTCAGATTCGAATTCCTCGTAAAAAATCGATGCGATTTCATGTATCATACCCTGACACCGAATTTCAGGAAAATCTATCGAACAGGAGCCGAGATGGCATTTTAAGCCACTTCAGTCATTTCGGATTTTTGAAGTTGAAAATTTTTACTTAAAACGCAAGATACCCAAAATCGAAGTTCAGATTCGGATTCCTCGTTAAAAATTGATACAATTTCATGTATCATACCCGAGCATAGCGTGAAGGAAAGAGACGTAACGTAGACATACTGATTCGAGCATATGAATCCAACGTGGCAACATGGGTAGTGCTCAGTGGGTCAGCGGAGGAGGAAGAATAAGAATTTATCGTAAGGAATTCCTCGCGACGAAACTGAACGTTAGCGCCGGGCGGCGCGGCGCCTCCCCGTTCTCGGTTTCACTCGGGCGACCCGCGCGGCGGCGTAGTTCAAACGGGTAGTACGACAGAATCTATACGCCTTGTTTAACCTCTTTCCTCAACGCTATGATAACATAAGATACATGAAATCTCATCAATTTTTCACGAGGAATCCGAATCTGAGCTTAGATTTTGGATATTACGCGTTTTAATCTATTTAAAATCGTAGGAGAAATTACAGAATTGTCTTTGAAAATTGATCACACATTAGTGTTTTTTTACGTCATTAAACCTCTTTCCTTCACGCTATTCTAAAATTTGATGCATGAAATAGCATCAGTTTTTCACGAGAAATCCGAATCCGAGCTTAGATTTTCGATATTACGCGTTTTAATCTATTTAAAATCGTAGGAGAAATTAAAGAATTGTCCTTGACAATTGATCACACATTAGTCATTTGTTACCCCGTTTTTCTTCTACGTTCACGTAATGAAATTAGATCATCAGTTGACTCATCGACTAGTCTAGCCTAACCCCCCAGAATCGGTCTAAAGGGAGAACAATTTTATCAGATAAGATGTGCGGTCCTAGTTTCCGGGCAATTGCGGTTTGATGGAAGCTGCGATGAGGAGAAACGGAGAATATGCGAAACTCGGGCGGATAATAAGTGAGAAACCAGGTAGGGGAAAGGCTTTTTTCCCGAAAAGTTAGTGCTCGGGCCAACTTACATGATCACTGGAGCATTGTATAGCAGGTTGTGGGAAACTATTTTTTTGCAGCAACAACCAATTGGATTGCATTTTGCAAAAAGGAACTAAGAGCATTTCAATGTTGCTGGGATTGTGCAACTTAGGTACATTCTTTGCAAAAAGTAAACTTTGCGACGGTAATTTTCGTCTTGAATTTATAGTTTATTGGGAGTAGAGGTGAAACTAGTTTAGATGATCGTTTATGTTTGCAAGGTTAGCGACATTGGAATGCTCTTTGGGACAAAAGCGTTGAAGACAGGGCTCATCAGTTAATGCGGCATCGTTAAGCTTGTCCAGCCCGGTCGTCGACGCTGATATCACTAGCGCCTTATAAGTCCCTTAATTCTTACGGCCCTCAACAAACGGGCACACCCCTTCATTTTCATCTGTCTTTGGTTCCGTTAAGCAGAAATACGTCCAATCAAAAGACGTTGAAACATTTGAATTGCGTACATCCAGCAATAAGAAACCAATATTTCCGGTTAATTTTAGAAACAACATGACGGCCATTGATGTCCCCATGCAGATACGTGCTTTTATGGAAGAGTCAGAGATAGTGGTTCCTTATTGCAAATAATGTAATACATTTAGTACTGGGCGTAAAAACTCTCTCACCTGCTCCAACGTAATTTTCAACTGATGCTTCTCTACGGACGGAGAGAGGCCCTGAACGGCTGTGACGTAAGCCGGGTCAGCCAGATAGAAGTGCGGGAAAGACACCAGGGCCGGTGCCCCAAATCTGCAGGAGGACAGACTTCTGACCCCGCTAGGCATGGCTTTGCCCTCACTCCAGTAACAGCTGTTTCCGGGTTCCACCGTTCCATTGTCGAAGACGTTTTCCCCGCCGATGAAAGTTACGCCACGCAAACCCTGAACCGAGACTTCCTTGGCGCTGTTCCGTAGATCTAGAGAGCTTTAACAGACAAACAAACAAAATGTTAAACACGCCTTTTTTCAACTTGGCTTCGTGGAGTGAAGTGGCCGTAGCGCTGGCCCTATGGTCATGGCGCATGGCGCTAGCCCAATAATCAAGAGGGCCCGGGTTCGTTTTCCGGCTAATTGTAAGCGGCTTTTGATACCATTAGTCAACTCGGGCTGATTGTACGGTAGGGACTGAAAGGGGACGGGAACTAGAAAGTGCTTCCCTTAAGGGGTATTTGAAGCGGCAGAAAAAATCTAAGGCCCAGTTTTATTACCTCTCGACACAGAGTTGAACTTTGGTTAAAATTTGAAAAGCGCGCATAGCACCTGTCGAATTCTCACTGAAAATTATGACTCTCAATTCCGAAACGTCCCACCAGAGTTGAATTCTGGGCTAAAATAGCGTTTTAAAGTTTTGCTTTGACAAGAGTTCAAATTTGAACAAATGAAGTTATAGAACCCTCAAATCGTCGTTACCCTCACGAAAAAACGTATTTACATTTCTATGTTGCCGAATTTCTCCTCGCAAATTGAATTTTCGCCATGAGAATCTTGGGAATTTCTAGCCTTAAAATTCACTGATTTTTCCTCTGATCTTATATGCGAAAAAAACGGCACAGGTACCTGGTGCATCTTTGCAAAAAAAAGGAATTCTTCTAGTCAAATTCGCAACGTAAGAATAAAATTACGTTCTTTCGTCTGGAAAACGACGGAATGTCACAAATGCCCATTTTGCAGCAAACGTGCAGTTTATCTCACACCCGTCGCGGAAAAAGAAGTATGGTAAGCATGACTACAAATATACTTGATTTTGATTTTTTATAAGTAAGACCTTCAAGTGGAGGTATAACCAAAGCCACCTAATAGGGTGTATCACATCGTGGCAAATATTTTGAATGATATGATAAATGTTATCGCGACTTGATTAACTTCAAGCGGTAAAATCCTAGGTGCCTGCCTAACTTGACATTCGTTATATCACCCACCCGTTACTCAATCACAAAAGAACCAATAAGTCTTCGCAGCAGCCAAACCACACTACATAACTGTGTGTCGTTCGTGATTCCTCTGACCTCCTACTGACTCCTCGATGCAACTATTCGTGCTCCTTGGATGTGCGTGTTGCATATGGAAAGAATTGAAGGCACTCTGCTTTTCATGTACGTAGCTTTGTGTCGTTCGCAACTCCTCTGACCTCCTACTGACTCCTCGATGCAACTATTCGTGCTCCTCGGAAATGCGTGTTGCATACCGAAAGAATTGAAGGCACTCTGGCTTTTCATGTACGTAGCTTTGTGTCGTTCGCGACTCATCTGACCTCCTACTGACTCCTCGATGCAACTATTTGTGCTCCTCGGAAACGCGTGTTGCATACCGAAAGAATTGAAGGCACTCTGGCTTTTCATGTCCTCGTGGACGCTCCAGTTGCTGATACTCTGTATGACGTCAATCGGAGGAACTTCAGTTTGACGCAAGGAATATGAGACTACTCTGTATTGTCGGTGACAGTGGACTAGTTTTACTGATTCATACAAAAAAAAAACTGCATGAGAGGCTCATGTCTGCGATATAATTGGAGGGAAAACGCTAGTTTATGTCATTTGGAATTGAACAGGGACGACGACATACAAAGAAGTGAGAGCGGAAGAGATATGTTATCTTTGTTTGCAGTCGAAGTTCAATTGGTCGTGGATAGTAATACTGGCATGACGTAGCCGCTATAGGAGTCAACACTGCCGTGCTGAGTAAAAACGCCGTATGAACCTTCCGGCGTTGCGAAATTTCCTGTAATGGAAGACGACTTTCCCAGTAAACTTATGAAAATTTTTCCTCCAATTTTACAGATAATTTTGTTCGCAATTTCACCCAAAGTTCCTGAAAATTTATGGGGAAAATATTTATAAATTTCCTCAAAAATAATCATTTTAGTGAAGGAAATCTGGCAACTCTCGAATATTCATACGACGTTTTTCCTTAGCACGGCAGGATAGATGTAGAACTGTGCGGGCGATATTAAACCCAGCGGTGCCCCTCGGCAATGACCTAATGACCGTTGAGTGACGAAATGCGTGTTGTTAAACTCCAGTGGATCTGCCCGATTTCTAAGATGGCTGTCCAAAAACATGCCCATCAACCCATTGAGGGTTTGGATTGCTGGCAGGCGCAAGACATTTGATTTTCCATTCTTCACATTTACGTTTACGTCAGAATGACGCATCGCCCAGCAAAAAAAAGTCGGTAATTCAGATGACGTAAATCGCAGCCATTTTTATTGGTGATTTTGTTGGGTTTGACAAAACATCTTCAGTGCGCGGCGCGTTTGAACACACTGAAAAAAGTGGTATGCTGTTTTAGAACCTGGGATGTAAAAAAAGTGTCTGGTGATCCTAAGATGCTACCTCAATTGCCCACGCAGTTGGATTCGCATTCATAGAATGTAAAGTTAACTGCGAGGGCAGTAAAGGCAGTTTCTTTGGATCACCAGACACATTTTTGACATCCTAGGTGCTAAAACAGCATATTATTTTTTTCAGTGCAGGCTCAACTCGACGTGACAGGCAAGTAATATCGATGCATTTCTGCGATTCTTGTAGATTTATTTTTACTGGTAGTATTACTAGGATCAAATACGATACAATACAAGATTTTCTGTAAAAATTATGAATTAAGTTAGGATATACATCGGCGCACTTGGAGGAATGTGTTTGTGTGTCACCACGTCTAGAAATGTGTGTAAATAATTGACGAGGTGGTGCTTTACTGAAAACGTGCAGATGAGGGATAGACGGTTCAGATGGTAAAGGAAAAGGGATCAGTTACATATGAGGGGCTTGGAGGAAAGGCGCATAAGTGTAGTTTTTGAAAAAAAATGAGGTATTCATGAACCCAACAAAACTAGTTTGAAAGTATATTTTGTGAAAAATTCACATCTGAAATCCAATTTTAAAGCATCAAAAAGAGAGTTTAAACTTCTTTTTTACCAAAAGGCTCCATGTGATTTTGATGCTTCAAACACGCATTTTTCGAACAGTGGCATGGCGTGCTTTGCGATACATTGATTGATGTGTCATTTAAACCTATGGAAAAGGATCGATAAACAGGGTATTCGCAGCGAACACCTTAATAATCGATCTTTTACCGTACGTTCAAATGGAGGAATATCGATAATCAATCATGCATGCCCTGCCACGGTTTCCGAAATAGCAAAAACTGCACTTGTCCTGATGTCCTCCTTGTCCTCCAAACCCCTAATGTGAAGTTTCAAAGACACGGACGTTTCGTTTGAGACGAGCTCACGGTTTCCATATGCTTTGCACTGCAATCTCAGATAAAAAGGTTAAACTTATTTGAAACGTGTAGTCTACATAAGAGTGCGACAATGCAGAACGTCATGTCTAAAATAGTAAAATGGCCTTCAACGCAGATTCATTTCGGTGAAAAGTTGCAAGTGTAGCCAAGGAGGAAAAAAATAGACCACAACGAGAGTGAAATTTTAAAAATACGTATCCCGGATTGCAGCAGTTGAGATTCCGCGACATATTTCTTCCAAGTAAAGGCAAATGAATACAATTTTTCTTGAAACTTTCATCAGCAGTTCTTCCTCTTACGAAGTGCAATTTTTCCTGTCGGGATGAATATTCGAGGGTTGCCAAGTTTTCTCCAATAAAATGCTCATTCGTGAGGAGTGTCATGAATACTTTCTCTTGAAATTATCAGATAATTTAGATCTGATTGGGGAAAAATCCTCTGAAAAATTGGAGGAAAAACATTCACAAATTTCCCTAAAAATTTGCATTTTATCGTAGATTTGGCAACGTCTAAAGGCTCATACGGCTTTTTTCCCAAGCACACCGGTATACTGCCATGCTAGGAAAAAAACGCCGTATGAGCCATCAGACGTTGCCAAATTACCTTCGATAAAATAAGGATTTCTAAGGAAAACTGTCAAAATTTTTCCTCCAGATTTTCAGAGCATTTAATTCGCAACCAGATCTATATTATCTGAAAATTTCCGGAGAAAATACGTATTACTCTCCTTAAAAATGAACATTTTATCGGAGGAGACTTGGCAACTCTCTAATGTTCATAAGGCGTTTTTGCTTTATAGCATGACAGCATAGTACTAGGCTGCCTCGTCTAAAATCGATTATTTATAATCGATTTTTAAGAAGGGAACCGTGGTATTGTCAACTTGCGAGAATCACTAACGGCTTTCCTTCAAAAAATAAAGAGAGCTCACGAGTTTTGAGACATTGCAATAGAGGCGCACGCTCTTAAACTTTCACTGCAGTATTCATCGTCCATTGTTCCGAGGATATTGGACATGTCAATCAAAAGGAACTACCTTCATGCGACATGGGCCCTACCATGCGTATATTCTTACGGATCTCAGAGCTCATTCCAAAATTTAGATAGTTCTTTTTGATTCGAATGCGCCCGATTGGGCAAATATATTACCTGCACAGATCGGTAACGAACAAAGTGATATGAGTTTTTTTGGCCGAGTCGAGGGGCCAGATTTCGCCGGTTGTGCCTCTCACTCTTCCGCACTCGCCTCTGAAGTACTCGTACGCATTGTAGTTCCAGGCCTCCAAATCCCCGAGACTATTCAAATCATCTGCGCCGGTGTCGACATTCGACACGCCGTCGAATTTTGAAGACATGTTATGCTGCAACAAAAATATTTTCATCATTCGAAACGTCCTATCCACCGTATAAAAAACTAGGGAGGGGCAACGCCCCTGGCCGCTGCGCGGCCCAAACCCCACTGGGCGCGAAGCGCCCTCAGCGGCCCGCTCCATGGGCTCCCGTTAGTAAATCTACCAAGAACGGGGTCATTTACTTCCTCCTTTATAAGAAGGTGGAGAAATGGTGCTGGGTCCACACCATTGCGCGGGGCTGGATTTCTTTGGCTTTGTTTCCCTCGCGAAATGGTGCGGCGGACCCAGCACTACTTCTCCACTTTGTCACACACAGTTCGGGCCATTACTTAGTGTTTTTTCTCCAACCTTCTTTGAATCGTTGCAAAAATGAATGCAAATGAGCTGGGTTCAGCAGAAAGGAACCGAGCCACATCAGCCGTGGCCAAATTTGAAAATGAGAAATTTACTCTTTTACAAGAGTTCGTTTGTGCGGATTTTTTTGAAAGTTTCAAAGAATTTGCTTCGTACTTTGCAGACAATTCACTGAAATTTGCACAAAAATCCGCACATCCGTTTTGATGTAAAAAATTAAATTGTCTAATTATTGGCGATAGCCGATGTGGTTTGGTTCCTTTTTGCTTAATGCGGTCCAAATAGGCTAAGTAAATCTTTAGAACGAAGTTTGACAAAAAAGGAAAATTTAGATTGTTGGAAGAGAAGTTCAAGAGGACATGTATTTGAAGTCATGCCCAAGCAATTTGTCTGGTACGATCAGACGGCCACGTTAATAGAATGACGGAAGAGAAGCTGTCAAAGAGGGTGCTTGATTTTGTTCCTCCTGGGACGTGACAGGAAGAAACAAGGATGACGACAGGAGGTTTTGCAAGAATCGAAGGAGTACCAGCTCCCTGAAAGGCTTTGGGAGTCTCGAGCGCCAGGAAGCGCTGCGAAAGTAGCTCATAAGTATCAGCTCAAAACTATGAAGTTTCAAAATCAATGTAAACGGCACAAAAATGTTTGTTTTCGCTTACAAAAGCTTTTTTAACGGTTAACTTACCGGATAGAACCAGCCAAAATGCGATGATCCCAGTGGATTTGGGAGGGGTCTTAGAGGTGTAGGAACTTTGTCCAGAAGTTTCAATAATGGGTCGTCATAGCCTTCAAATAGCAATTGGCGAATGGGTCTCTTCATGTACATCTTGGATCGGAAAACTTCGAGAGCAATTTTGATCTCTTCTTGCGCTATCAAGCCTAGGTGTCCATCTTTCATTAGTGAAGCTATGGTCTGAAAATTAAAAGGCGACGAAATAGACTCATCTCTAGGTTGAATGCCGTGATATAAAATAATATTGACGGTTTAGGTGGGAAAATGCGCATTTCCAAGATTTAAAATTTGTAATTCTGTTCCGAACCTCATTACTCTGTTTCCTTTCTTCCTTCTTCTGCTCCTTTTCCTCTTCTTTTTTTTCTCCTATTCAGCGCGTGTCTTGTTTTTTTCATTATTTCGAAAGAAAACAAACCAAAGTACATCCATTTTTTGGAATTATGAATTTCTATGAAATGTTGAATAAGTGAGGTTCTTATAAAAGTATATGCCAAAAAGGACTGCTATTTTTTACTTATGTTAAAAACAATTTATTTGTCATTAATTTCTCCATGCAGATTGGTGCTTTAGGATTAGTAGTATGGATTGGATTCAGAAGCCAAGGAAGGAAATGCGCTTACATTTGGAAATTACTAATGACAAAATTGAATCAAACTGCATATTAATTGCTTCAAAATGATCAAAAATGCTCTGAGTATGCTCCCCGGATTTCCCTTACGCCCCCCCCCCTCCCTCGTTTGAGGTGTCTGGAACCGCCAGTGACAGAAGCAGACCCGGAACTGTTGTATTTTAAGTAGTGTAAAAGATCTAACCGAAGCTCAACACTCCGCCAATGATGCTGCCTAACTAAAGTACTTCAAAACTTAGTTTTAAACAAAAAAAACATGGTTGCTGAACTGGAACTGAGCTCACGCAGCTTTTCGCCGTGATTTGTCCCTGCCTTTGAGAAGTAATCTTAAAATATTTAAGAGATATGCATTTTCAATCAAATGAAAAGAAACTTTCACAGAATATTATTTGCGGCGGCTTTTCAATCGACCTTTCACGGAGAAAAAAACTTCGTGCGTGGGACCCGAAGTTTAGGTCATATGGATCTCTGAAGTTCTCGGATTGAGCATCTGAACACTTTAGGTCCAGCTGCTGAGGTTCGGATCACACATCTGAAACTTTAGTTCTTACATCTGAAGTACTTCAGATATGAGAACTCAAATTTCAGTGAGTTTCCTGAATAGTACTAAGCAAATTTCTTGAAACTTTCAAAAAAAAAAAAAAAAAAAGCTGCGTTCAAAGAAAATCTCAAACGTTCTCTTGTAAAAAATTAAATTGTCCTGTTAATTTTGGCAATAACTCTGCTTGGTTCCTTCCTGCCTGACGCGGTCCAATTTTCTCTACAAAATCATAGATTTCCGATGGAATTCCAGTTAATATGAAAGTAAATCAATTCTGCGAAATATCACGTGGAAATTGTTTTTTTCAATCGACCTTTTTTTCTGAGAATTCATAAAAAAATCAATGCATACAACGAGCTGAAATGCAAAAAATTATGTTCAGTGCCACGTTCATTGCACGTGCAACGACAACTTGCGGCCACCATTTGCTTGTTTTCCCCGACAGACTAACATACATTTGTCGCACCTTTTCCTGAGCAAAAAGTTGGAGTTTTTTGCCTAGTCGCTTCACGTGCAACTGACTACTCTGTAAGCTGAAGTAGGCCCTACTGAACTCCACTTCTCATGCTTTAACTATCTAGCGGGTCAAAACTGTTTACTTGGCATAGGGATTATTTTGTCTTTACTAGTATTATACTTATTCGATCTAGTGCATGACTTTTCACTTACACGTTTTCGGCGTCTTTCACGTCCTGAGAGGTACAATGAAGGACTTATGGATGGTACTCTCCTGTAAATGAATCCCCTCTGAACGCACTGGTGCGTTTATTGGGGATTTTCAGTCTAATGAGGTACAAATGTCGAATTGCTAATAATACTCTCGTATATTAACACGCTGCTGTCGTGTTAAATTTGGCACTTTTAGCGAAGCTTCAGAACCGAACGGTGTTTGCTCATTACACGACGATGTGCTGTTCTTAACACATCGTTCTCATGTCATATTAAAAATTAAATTATATTTCACATTTTTTAGCAGTGCGTAGGGGGCCTGCTTCAGATTTTACTGATGCTGAATGATTTCAACGAGCGAGTCCGATTCTCTGATGTTGGAAACACTGTATTTTCTGGATTTAAATGTAGAATTTCGGTAAAACAACCTGTCTCGATAAATGGACGCATTTAAGGTGAAAGGAACTATGTGCAAGTGGAAAGATGGGGTATGCTCGTGCATTAAAAACAACGTAAAAGTGGATGTAGCTCCTTTTGAGAAAATGGAAAAGCGGGATTTTACATGAAATCAAAAAGAAACTGAGCGTCACCTCATGAGCCGTGGACATGTGACAAGAACCTTGTGGACAGGGCTCATGAGTTAAAGCCGAACGAGAACGACAATGAGGACAACTTCGTTGCCCCTAACGTCACAGGCGCTTTTAAATCCCCATTCATTCTCATAGCCCGAGCACTAACGAGCACACCCCATCTTCCCACTTGCACATAGTTCCATTTCGCATAAATACGTCCAAATGTTGATTGTAATAAGTAAAATAAAATCTAAAGGACGAATCCCACAATGTGGTCGACTGGAAAGAAATAAGGAAGTTTTATGTTTTGAGCCGAGGACTTGCTAAAATTATTTTTTAAATATAGTAATCAACCTCTTACATGTGTCGCATGCAATTAGCCATCGCCAGCATGTGCAATGGGTTTACATGTTGTTCCGATAAATTACAAAAATGTGAATCGGTATATGAAGGTTTGATGGGTAATGACCTTCAATAATAGCGCAACCTCGGTTCGGGGCGCCTTCATTTGTTTTGACACTGCACGCTTTGTTTTGGAGTTAGTTTAGTTGCCTGCCCGATTCGAACTCCATTAAGATCATGGTTTTCACCACTACTACCATGTTTTTACGGAGGTAAAGTGTCTATTTGCATTGAAGGCAACAAAATCAACACTCTAATCTTGTTCCTTTACTGGTGGATTATAAATTGCCGGCGATTGTTGATTGCCTGCGACATATTTGTACTTCCTCACTACTCTCACTAATGCATGGATCAGTGGTGACTCTCGAAAGTTGGCAACACTATTTTTCCTCCATTAAAATGTGTGCAAAATAATCAATTCTCGGTGAGGCAGCTTGCTTTACCTAAAATCAATATTTTAGATGGGGGTGCGACTCTTGAAAATTGGCAACACTGTTTTTCATCCATTTAAATGTAGGTAAAATAATCAATTCTCGGTGAGGCAGCTTGCTTTACCTAAAATTAATATTTTTAATGGATTTAAATTAATGAAATACATTGTTGCCGACTTGCAAAACCGCGACTGACATGGCTGCATCGACCATAAATTGTAGCAGAGGCACCGCTCGTTCGAAAATTATCGGCGGCTGGGAGGATATTTTTGAACGCCACCGGCTTGACTTTCCCGGCGATAATAATACGCAACTTTGAACACATTTCTCGAGGGTTACACTGAAAAAAAATATTGCTGAATTTGCCTTGCACGCGGGTATTTCATGGCATGGTGTAGCTAAAAAACGAACGTGCAAACCATGAAGGTAAAATCGCTACACAAATTTCTGCTAACTTACACACACGCGTGTAGGTGATTTTGCTCTCTGAAAAGCCACGTCTGTTACTTTGTTAGTTATTCTTCCGTAAATTTCGCTATTTTTCCGTAAATTTCGCTATTTTAGCCTAACTATTGAGCTATTTTTACTGTTCGCAAAGTACCAATACCAAAAAATGCAGTTACACTTCCAAGCCACTCGATGCAAGATTAACTGCATGAAGGCGCGCAGATGTAGCAAATCGGTGTAGCAATTCGTGCTAGTCGTTCACTTGATTCAACACCGTGCACGGATAAGAAAGCTATGAAGTGTAGCAAATTTTGCTCCACCCTAAATCGGTGAATTAGCAATCCTTTTTTTTCAGTGTAGTATATTTTAAAACTCCCGAGAAATAAAATTCTCGTGTTCTTAAGGCTTTCTACACTTTTCAAAAATCCTAGAACTGAAAATCACTCGCTCGACAGCCCAACAGGGATTTCATAAAAAGAAGGAGAGCTGGTGAGGAAAGTGCCGCGAGCCGTCAAGTTAAGATTTCCGAAAACTGTTTTTGCCTTTGAAATATACTGATTCAACTGCAAAAGGGCAGTGAGATATGAGATTTACGAGGTAAACGAATGAGAGAAAACGAAAAGCAGAATGAATGAAAAATTATTACAAATGCAATAGGATTGACGGTGGTGACTACGTCATCGAGTGACGATACGGACATACTTCGCATGAAAACCCACTTGCGGGTTTGTTTGTACGTCACTGTGTGATTTTTGTTCCAGGCCAACACTTTTTTCGTGTGAAATTCCCTGGAAAAAAAAAGAAATAAATGAGAACATCACTAGGGAAACTGCAAAAAGCGTGTATCTCGCTTTGCAACTCTGCAGATTTCTTGCCATGGTTCAATTTTAAATTGAAAACTACTCGTCATTATTTTTCGAGGGTTTTATCGATTTTTCTTCTCTATGTGAAAATTCAAGCAATAATGCTGGCGTTTCCTTCTTTGATATGTTTAAATGTGAGTGAAAATTTCGAATCACCGCTAACGAAATGCGTGTTTTTTGGGTTTGACCGACGATACGCACCACTTTTATACTAATGGACGCACATTTAAAATCTCACATCTCTGTTTCTTATCCGCCTCGTTATAAAAACTGAACTTTGAAACGCAGCGTGAAATTTAAAAGTCTCGGTTCCTTTATATTCTTAAAGACAAACCGTTCCGTGTTTGAATCTTTTGAGATACCAATAGATTTAACAATTTGCCAGGATCAGTTCCCACGGCCTATGATGGTCTCATATGTTCAATTTTTTTTAACGAAAAAGTAAATAGAGTAACGCCTTGAAACTTTCTGGGAATATTCTCTGGTGGTCAAAAATGAGCTTACATATCATTAAGTTAAACGCAGGTCCCTGTTAAAAAAAAAAAAAAAAAAAAAAAAAAAAAAAAAAAACACACACATACGCATGAGAGGAAAGTAGACAACTTCTGATATGAAAAGGCTAATTCCGATTAAAGCCAATCATGTTACCTTCACTATTCAAACTGAAAAACATTTTAGAAGACTGTGTCCAATGGACACATTTTTTGAGATGATTACTGAGGCCAATTTCTGTAATTTTTTTTTTCTTCTGCGCTGCACTTATATCGATATTGAAACTGTAGGAATCGCGTATCTTGGTTTAGGGCGATGAATACTTAATTTTCTGCGTGGAAAACTGCCAACCGTCATTTTTTAGAAAAATTCGATTACTTTTATTCTTTGTGTGTGATTAATATATTCTGTGAAAATTTCAAGCCATGGGTCGGGTCTTCTTTTGAAAAATGAAGTGGGAACGGAAATTTTTAAACATTGCAACCGAGATACACATTTTTTCAGTTTCACCATCAATATGTACAGCTGCCAGCATACGAAGATCGCTAGGCAGCAGAGGTCACGCCTAGGGCTGTATACCGAACCGCCTCATCGAGTGTCGGTAATCGATGTCGGTATCGGTTCGGTTCGGTCGGTTTCGATCGATTCACCGAATCGCGAAAGCTATCGCGATATATCGTACATACCGAACATACCGAGACTTACCGAAACATACCGAAACATTTTCGATTCATCGAATACCGAAGTTACNGTAGCGGAATTAGTTTCCAGCACTAATAGTGGTTAGTGTACAGAAACCAAAAATCATGTGTGTCCAAATCACACAATTTGAGTTAGTGTATAGAAACCATTTTTAGTCATCTGACGCTAACTCATTTTTTTCAGTGTACCGAAACTTATCGAACATGTCGAAGCTTATCGAACGTATCGAAGTTACGGATCATATCGAAGTTACCGAACATACCGAAACTTACCGACACTTAACGAACAAAATCGGACCCATCTACATTAACCGGTATCATTAAAAATCCAACAGGCTTGCATTGAGCCCTATTATCCATAAATCTCGACGCTTTGCACGGCTCACGTAAAAATTGAATTATGTTTGGTGTTCGAAACTCACCTTCGAGTTTTAGGGGCCATGTGGCGCATCAAGCTCGATTTTTAGGCGCCATTGAAGATTTTTTGGAGGCCAAATTGACATTTTGTCTATACATTACTATGCGCATTTAGTGAAAAGTTAGACGCAAGATGTTTTTGTAACAGAACTAGTATAAGTAGCTGTAACTGAGGAAGACAAAAGCCCTAAAAATGAAATCGTGAGGAATAAAAAACCTTTCTCTTTTAGTGCTGACAATTTCGAGTTTTTTTAATTCAAATAGATTTGGATCTCTTTCTTTATGTGACTTCCTATGAAAATCCAGATTTTCAAGGAGTAATTTTTAGGGGCCACGTTGGCGCAGAGCCTTCGTTTTTTAGGCGCATTTGGCGCGTTGGCGCAGCCTGTGAGTTTCGAACACTGATTATGTTAGAAGAGCGAAGAAATATTCTGCCGTGATTAAAAAGAACGCCGTATGAGCATTCAAACGTTTACATAGATCTTTCCATTAAAATCTAA